AGGTTTCAAGTCTGTGGAAATAGGCAAACTAAGTAAATTTGTTGCATGCAAATCAGGTTGATCTTTCATACTGTAATCGATAAATAGTCTTCTTCAAAAACAATGGTGTATACCTCTACATTATAATTCATTACAAGTTTTACTTTTTTTTTTCTCTTCTTTGTGAAAGACCTAAACAGTGGGATAATTTACTTATGCAAGGACTGATCTGCCTGTTAAAGACTGGGGTCACCACTAGGACAAGAAACACAAATCAAAAGAATGTAGAAATAAAAGGTACTTGGTAAGGAAAATATAGGGGAGGAGAGAGTGGGACCAAGACAAGGGAAAAAAAAGGGAATGAATATATAGAGTAAAAATGGAAGAACAAAAATTCTGATACGCTAAATGTTCAAGCACAAGCTCAATTCTATACTATGGTGTGTTTGAGGGTATAACAATTAAAGTTATAAATTAGCATACTCCAACAACTCTCCAAAGTTTTTTCATTGTATTTATTCCATGATTTTATACCAACAGAAAACTGCAGTATTCAGTGCATCCTCAACTTGAACAATTAGTAGGTGTATAACTAAATGATTAGAGATTTATGGTGTGTAAGGACATACTGTAGGGTTTAAGCTGTATAACCAATTATAGATGAGTATTATCTCCAACTGAAACCATATATATTAATTTTTTCACAATTGTTTTTAGACATGAACACTCAATGTTCAGCCTCCATAATCTTATTTGCTCAATTCAAGATGGTTGGACTCCCAAAGTCAAGGAAAAAAGGCTTTTGGTGGCATTAAGCAAATGTGGAATGATGCATTTTTTATATGATTTGATGGAAGAGTGGGAGTCGTTAAAAAGGATCTGGAGAGGATCACCTGATGGGATTAATGGTATTTTTCCTTATCCACGGTAATATAGACTTTAAAAATTCTTGAATGCACTACCCCCCTAATTGCTTTAGAGGCTGTGCTGACTTGGGAACACATTATCACATATGGTGGGACTGCTCAATAGCCTAAACTTTCTGGACAGAAGTCTTTAGAATGATATCCAAATTTTGCGCAAACCCGCTTCAACCTACCCCGACAACGGCTCTTCTTAACCTACACCCCCCCCGGCGTAACCACACCACAATTCAAACTCATCCTGCAAATAACCACAGCGGCCAAACAGGTTATAGCAAAATCTTGGATATATGGATCTTGGATGTTATAATACAAATAAAAAGTTTGAACAAGAAAAATTCTTGAATGCTAGAACATGTCCACCAATTATGTAGAAGGATATAATTCTCTGTAAAGCCTTTCTAGCATCTGTAAGAAGTACCCAAGAACATAGTGTTCAATTGTGAGTAAGTCATGTACCACCCAGATGAAAATATATATATCAGGGGCATTCAAGTCAAACCAGAACTTTTAATTTTGCAGTTATAAAATGGAATGCTAGCATGGCAGTATTACACAGCAGTAGTAAGTAGCAAGTGTGTCCTACTACTGATAGTCAACACACAAGTCGTGGGCCAGTCCAGAGACTGGTAATTGAAAAAGAGACAACAGTGTTAGTGCATGCATGGAACAGAGTGTGGTGATAAAGTTTCTTGTGAACGAAGGTGTAAAACCCTCAGGTATCTACAGAAGACTTCAAGCACAGTACTGTGATGATACTCTCAGACTCAGCAAATCATTTAAATGGTGTAAACATTTCAAAGATGTCTGTACGTCCATCAGTGGTGGTTCCCAGCCCATAGCAGTCATTCCTGTGAACATTCAGTGTGTGGAATACCTGATCCTGGATAATCAATGCATAACCTGTCATAAAATTTCACAAGAGACAAATATTTCTGTGGGAACTGTATGCATAAAGTGGAAGCATGCGGACTCACCACCACCTAAAAAATGTCAAACGCTCCGCCTGTTTGGACCCCTAAAAGAGTTCTTCAGAAGTCAGCATTTTAGCACTGATGACAAAGTGAAGCAGGCTGTACTAGGATGGTTCAGGCATGCAGACAAATCTTTCAATGATGAAGCTTTCCAGGAATTAGTTAAACGCTGGGATAAGTGTATAATGTAGCAGGGGAGTATGTTGAAAACTAAATGCAGTTTCCACTTTTTGAAAGTTGTTCTTTTATTATATAAACTCAAAAGTCCTGGTTTGACTTGAATTCCCCTCGTATAAGGATTCCTGTGTTTTAGTAGTAATAGCGGATACATGTGTAAGCATAATGGATTTAGATTTTTGGTTAGGAGTAAACTAACAGGCCAATTCTCTTTCTCACTCCTAAAAAATATATGGATCCTGGGTGGAATAGGTAAATGGCAATAGTTTATATATCTAGGTAAATAGATGTGTTGTGCTCTGATTATTTTAAAAATCATGCCACTATCTGTAGACCTGAGAGTGGGTGACAGACTGTTAGGAAAATTGAATAGCTGTAAATATCATTATTGATCTGTGGGAAATTGTCTTAGTCTGTTTAAAGGTCAAAAGTGCACTGTCAGGCACAAAATGTATGTGAAATGCTTTGAAACAGTAATGTGTTACTATGTGATTTTAGTGTATTTTGTGAATGTCACTTTTTAAAATGTTTAAATTTTCCGCCGATTCTGGCCCCCATACGTCCTGTGCGTCCCGACGCTCACAGGGACTGGAACCCAGAAGACGGATGCTGGCATCGGCTGGAGGAGATGGTCGGGGACTCTGCAGGGGGACATCGCGGGAGTGAAGAACAAGGTAAGTGAACCAGGGAATCCCAGAGCAACGCTGCAGGGTAATCCCGAGTGTAGCTCGGGGTTACTGCTTTTGGCACTGATAATTAACCCTGAGCTACACTCGGGAATACCGCCAGGGAGGTTAATATTAGGGAAAGGTTTGGATAGAGACCCTATAACCATCACCCAAGCCTCCAGCTTCTGAAAAAGGGACAGGATTAAACCTAACATTTGAGTGCCTAGGCATAGGGTCTTGCGTTTTTTTTTTTTTTTTTTTTAGGCTTTTTTAGGCAACCATTGAAAGTGTCTTAAAGAGTTGTAGGCCAGGGCTATGTTTTACTCAATGCAATATATTTACAGTATCAGATACATTGTTATGTGAGCAAGGAGGGCTTCCTTCCAGAATAAATTATAAGCTCTAATGGAAATAAAATATATGAAGATATTTTCAAAAAGAAAAGGGGTTAAGATTTTATATTGTGAGTTGGTAAAGCCATCCAGCCCCATGCTTTTTCCTATGGCCAAATTAATATAATTGAGTCAATTTCTTGGGTCATGATAGGTTACTCCTGCTCCTTAAAAAACTATGTAGGAAATTGTGGGAATTCAGTTTCTTGTATGTATTTACTAATCCATTCACTACATTGAAAATGGGAGATTTCTTTCTCTTGCCGTTTGGGTTTTAAAAGGAAATGAGGAAATACCAAAATTCCTTTTCTATTTTTGTGGTTTTTAATACAGCAGTACCCTTCTTTATTAATTAATGAATACGGCAGTATTCTTGAGGGTTCGTACTAACGGTCTATCACTTTTTGCCAAATTCATAAAACCTATGTGCAAAGTATCTGAGCTTAGTTCTTATTTTGCTAACCAGAGATTTTGACATCTTCGTATTCTCAGTATGGACATAATCAATATCAAATGAGGCCAGTGATAATGCCACACCCTCCTATTAGATTACATAGATCAAACCACATAACACAAATGGGTTTTCCCAGCACCAGGTACTGTATAAGTTGCAACTTCTTTGAAAACATATATGCAACTCATATATGGAACTCCACTATTGCTGACAAAAAAAATATTCCCCTCTGGGTGATTTATGTACATTGCATAGATTTTAACAAACTTTATTGCAGATTCCTACCTTTTGTTATTCTGAAAATATATCTGTTTGTCTGTGTTTATGTGCTAAGTGAATTTGTATGAATCTGTATAGGAGTGGTTTCATAATTATGAATCAGCTGCTGCACCTGCAGGACTCTAATGATGAAAGTGGCAGGGTCTGCATCTCTTTAGACATGATTTTCGTTTGAAAGTATCTCACCAAAAATGATATTTTTGCTGCAGGGGATGCTCAAAATTTTAATTGTATCTTAGTGCAGACTGAAAAAACCACTGAGCCAATCACTCAAGCAGGACATGACATTTATGGAGGCCATTCTGTACACCAACTGTGTACAGAGTACCTCCAGGTAGCCATATTGCAATGTATTTTACAGAGGATTACAGTGCTGCAGATTAAAAAGGAAAAGTAATTTTTAATAACATTCAATTGCAATATGACTTGTGTAATAATTGTATACACTATTTTAGTTTTCATTTTAATTTGCTAATGTTTTCCCACAAAAGTTACCCTTTAAATCATATTCTGAAAGCAAAAGGTGTTGCTGCCCCTATACCCAAACTTCCAACCTTAAAGCACAAATGATGTAATGTATATGAAATAATCAACTGTTACATCCTATGTAGGCTTTGATAGTCATTGTTGCACATGAAATCTTCAATGATCAAAGAAAAAGAGGAATAGGGTTCACCGTTTGTCTCTACACATTTTGTAGCCAGTACAAACCACTGTTTCAGGAGCAAAAACAATCAGTATCTACAATTCAATGTATAGAGCAATGAATTTCATATACAATACACAATATCTTTAATACTACATAATATCAACATATATGCAAAGTTTCTTACCCCAAAATGTTTGTTAATCCGGATATGAATGCTGACTCTTGACAGTTCACTGCCCCAAGAGCTGAACACAACCACCAAGCAGAGCCACCAAAGCACACAGAAGCATTCCACAGGTCACAAAGGCTTCCCAACTGCAGTGTTATCTAGAATAGTGGAATTAATAGAGGGTATATGACACAAAGCATCTACACCCCAGGAATAATAACCAAAAGGGAATAAAAAACTATGAAATACTGTATTTTTCCACTCCATAAGAAGCACCTGACCATAAGACGCACCTAGGTTTTAGAGGAGGAAAACAAGAAAAAAAAATATTCTGAACCAATGAACTGCAGACATAGTACAGGAAATGACCAGAGACTGCGGACATAGTACAGGAGATGACCAGAGACTGCAGACATAGTACAGGAGATGACCAGAGACTGCAGACATAGTACAGGAAATGACCAGAGACTGCAGACATAGTACAGGGAATGACCAGAGACTGCCGACACAGTACAGCAGATGACCAGAGACTGCAGACACAGTACAGGAGATGACCAGAGATTGCAGACATACTACAGGAGATGACCAGAGACTGTTGTCATGGTACATGAGCAGAGGCTGCAAACACGGAACAGGGGATGAGAAGAGACTGCAGACATGGTACACGGGATGACCAAAGACTGCGGACACGGTACAGGGAATGACCAGAGACTGCGGACACTGTACAGGAGATGACCAGAGACTGCAGACATGGCACAGGGGATGACCAAAGACTGCGGAAACGATACAGGAGATGTTTAGAGACTGCGGACACTGTACAGGAGATGACCAGAGACTGCGGACACTGTACAGGGGATGACCAGAGACTGCGGACACTGTACAGGGGATGACCAGAGTCTGCTGACACGGTACAGGAGATGACCAGAGACTGTGGACCTGTGGGGAGCAGAGGGGGGGAGCGGGTACCCAAGTTTGACAGGTACCCGCTCCCACTTCCACGGAGTTGTCCTCCCTCCCCGTCTTCTGAGACACGTGACAGGTCTCAGAATACTGCCGGGCCATTCACAAAGCGCAGCGCTTCTCGCGCATGTGCAGTGGGCACCCATCTGCGAAGCTGCAGGCTGTCACAGCTGGGTGTCCACAGTAAAGATGCCGGCGCCTGGGAGAAAAGACGGTGAGGACAGCTCTGGACCGAGCAACAGGTAGGACCGAAGAGCACAGAAGAGCCCAGCGGCCAGCCCAATATTCTAACACGTGGTGGTGGGCATACCGGGCCAGATGTTCCATATTCGCTCTATAAGACTCACAGCCATTTTTCCCCATTTTTTTGGGGGGAAAAATGCGTCTTATGGAGTGAAAAACACGGTAATATTAAATAGCAAAAGCAACTTAGTCCTGGAATGAGAAGGGGGTAATAAATAAATTATATATGTAAACCAGAGGATAAAAGACTCCCAAGACCCTTGTGAAAATAACAAGCCACTCTAACCTCACCGCAGCAGCTAGCTAATATATTATGACCATTTTAATATTATAAAAGCTAAGTAAACTCCCAATAATTAACTTAAGGGCAAAGGGCAAAATAAATGGATATCACTACATATGCAGTCCATTATCACATGTACCCAATAAAATACCCCTGCAACAAAATCACTGGACTATGATACATGAGAGCACAAAGATGGGAAAGATGTTTAAGCAAAGGAAATACGTCACCTGCATAGGAATAGCAGCATTGGAGAACACAAGCTCAAAGGACTAGTGCACTCTTGATGACGCAAGCACTAACAGGAGGGTGGTATTCTTAGCAGTGTGCCAAACAGAGGTGCACCTAAAGGAAACAACCCACATCATGTCAGTAAGAAGGTGGGCCATGCAAATGTTGTGAGCATCAAGAGTGAGGAGAGAACAGAAAGACCCCACCTACAACAATCTCTCCAGATAGGGAAAGCCCCCACTTGCTGGGCACCCAAGTGGCTAGCAAGCAGGGGACAGTATGCAGCACCAAATGCTGCACCCCAGTCACGGGATCAAACTATGCAGCCTTCACATACAATGGGGAACATAAATTCAAATACAAAATAATACAAAACCATACCTGCTTTTAAATACATAGATTACAACTAAATAACCATGGTATTACCATATCACAAAGGCTGGAACACATATTCATTGTTGGTATGTAGTGCGGTTCAAATATTGCAAAATTAGAGTTATCATACAAAGGGCAATCAATACATTACCTTTACAACAGCATGATTCAAAGCCCTATATTGAATCATCATCTTACTTTTTATAGAAAAGGCTTAAAAATCAAAACATGATTTAGGCCAGAAGGGTCAGTCACCCTTAGGCGATAGATCCACCTGGTCTCTAGCCTTTATATGTAATTGTCAAGAATGCTCCACATATGCACATAATCAGATAGCCCACACCCATGGTCTGACAATCTACAAAGTGCTTAAGGACAAATCCACTCCCATTGGAAAGGATGGCCCTTTCTTCTTTTTGAACAACAGGCAATACTGATATTTACCACATCTATACGTGCCTCTTCTGTTGGCACATAGATTCCTGTCCCTTTTATAGTGGCTTTATAATACATAGTCCCTGATGGATAGACTGCACCTATATACCACCTCTGGGTGTTTAGATGCATACTTGGAGACAGTGGTATCACTGGTAAGGAAATGACAATTTGTTTTTGGATATCTTTTACCTGTGCTTGATGAGCTGAATACCGGGTAATTAGTTTAACAGTGTAATTTTTCCTGGGAGCTCTAGGTTTATAAAGGGGGACCACTCAAAATTGGGCTTTCACTTTTATGATAGGATTTTTAAAATAATTTATGGCTGTAGCCACATGCAAGCAATCTCAGCTTTAAGGTTCTAGCTTCTCTTTCAAAATCCATTTCCTTCATTCAGTTTCTTTGAAGACGGAGATACTGTCTACACAGTATACCTTGGATTAAGGGTTTTGGATGAGAACTGCTGTAAAATGATATTCCATGAGATTTTCTATCTGTGCAGATTGTTTATTACAGAACTGCCTGTCTGTATTGTAATTTGCACATCAAGAAAGGATATCGTCGCTTGTTTAGTTGTCATAATAATTTATAGATTTTACCTGTAATAAACTCAGAAAGGCCCTTGCATGTTCCAATCCAAATTACCAAAATGTCATCAATGTACCTGTGCCAGGCAAGCACATGGTACAAATATGAGGACATCATATTCATCACAAAAGAGATGTCACTCCCGACCTCCAAGTACAGGTTGGTTTACAATAGGGAACAACATGTCCCTGTTGCCATGCCCTGCACCTAGTGCAAATGGGAGTGGTTAGCTATAAATATATTGCACGTCAAAATATGTTAGAGCAATTCAAGCACAAACTCTGTAAGTGGCCAGCTTGCTTAATCCCTTTATTTAACAAACTATTACACTATTTTCAGTGTGTTATCATGTGGGCCTCTATATTTTTGCCATCAAAAACACCCCTGGTGGAACCCCAGTATCTTCAATAATCCTTAATAAGTCCAAGGGTGGTTTTCAATGTTTTTATGGGTTTTGGGTAGAGCATAAAACATAAGAACTTTGGGAATTTAAACACACAAATAGGTACTTATCAACAATTGCTCCTGTGTATGCTCTTTGAATAATCTCCCTGAAGTCTTTCTGAACCTGAACCACCCAGGACTGAGGTATGGGCCTCTACCATTCATGATTATTCAATAATTGCTTGGCACATTTGCCTTATACTTACAGTTGTCCATCCCGACAATATTGTTCAAACACATCTCCAGGGGCACTAAAAGCAAAGAAATCTTTAAAGGAAAAAGTGGCTGCATCTAAAATTAATTGATTACCCAGTAAATTCTCATTTAACTGCCATGTCCACTCCTTCTGGGTGGAATTTGGGAGAAAAGAGTTAAGAAATGCTGTTTGTTATCTGAAATAATATTTTTGTTCAACTGATGTAGATTGCAGGGTATGTAAATATAACTGATCAGAGAAAACCAAATGAAAATATATGTGCATTTTAGAATAGTAGATGAAATCTTTAACTGTGCCATTTATAGCCCGCCAGCTATCCACTAGTTGTTATATTTGGAGGCATCGCTTGAAGTGTTTGAGTGCGCCTAAGGAGAATTGAACTTTCCCTGTAGTGGTGTCTAACTTTGGATGAGGGCACAAACTAAATTTCCCCTAGAATCAGCAGTATGGGTGAGCCAAACATACCTGAGTTCAGTTTGTGGGAAGGTTGCTGAACTGTTCTGAAGTTCTGAACTTTAATCCAAATGCTGTTGAAGCCAATGGGAGAAAAATCTTTAAAAACAATCCCAGTCATTTTAAGGCTAATAAGAAAAGGAATGTCAGACAAAGGGCAGGGGAGCTAAACATGAGGACATTTCTCAAAGCAAAAAAAAAAAGTTTAAATTCAGTTTGATGGGAAGAAGCGGTTTTAGTAAAGTTAAGGGTAATAGATTAAAAATTGAAAATTCTTTCAAATAATATGCTTGGGAGATGCACTGAATGCCTGTGAAGTGGCAAATCTTTATGATGTATAAAGCTACAACAGCAAAAGTGCCATTTACAGAGGAAAAAAAAGTTGCTTCCAGGTCACATCCTGTTTATAAGCTAATGGCCAGGGGATCCCTTAATATATACTAAACTCTTACCCCAGATGAGAGTCTGGGATAAATGTTAATGGGGAGCCCAGCAAAAAATGGCATGGAGTTCCCCCTAAAATACACCCTTATTCTTGAATAGGGTCTGGCATTGATTTTATAGGGGAAACCCATGCAAAAAGCAATAAACAAAGTTTGGGGCCCACTAAAAATCCATACCAGACCTTTACTCAAGAGTGCAGCCTGAAAAGCAGAACAATACCAGGCCACATGCCTCCCCAAACAATACTAGGCTTACACATCCCCTTTGCAAAGCACCATTTGTCCCAATGTTGATAAGGACCAAGATATGTTCGCCACAACCCTAGCTGGTTGTTGTGGGGGACTATGGCCACATGTCCTCTGGACCATACTAGGCTTACATAACCCCCTGGCAAAACCCCTTTTGTCTCCATATTGATTAGGACAAGCGCATCTTCCCCCAACCCTAAACCGGTGGTTGTTGTAGTCTGTGAAAGTGGGATTTATCAGAACCTGGATGCCCTATTTAACTGTTTTACCCCCAGGCTAATTCTGACACTTCTCACATGCATGTAAAAATATTTTTTTTCTTACTAGAGCCCACAGGCATTATATATTTTTCAATGCAGAGACCCTGGAGAATAAAATGTTTTTTTTTTTGCAATTTTTTTATGTTATATAGTTAGTCTGGCTGAAAGAAAGACAAAAGTCCATCCAGTTCAACCATGCAAAAAAAAAAAAGTTATAATCTTATACCCACAGTTGATCCAGAGGAAGGCAACCCCCCAGCAAAGCATGACCCAATTTGCTCCTGTAGGGGAAAAAATTCCTTCCTGATCCCCCCGAGAGGCAATCGGATATTCCTTGGACCAACTTTACCTATAAATGTTAGTATCCAGTTATATTATGTGTTTCTAGGAAATAATTCAGGACTTTTTTAAAGCAATCCACTGAGCTGGCCAGAACCAACTCTTGAGGGAGTCTATACTCCATTTTCACAGCTCTTACTCTGAAGAACCCTTTGCAGATTAAATCTCTTTTCGTCCAGAAGTAAAGCATGCCCCCTTGTCCTCTGTGATGACCTTAGGGTGAATAACTCTACACCAAGTTTACTATATGAACCGCTGATGTATTTATACATGTTGATCATATCCCCCCTTAATCTCCTCTTCTCAAGTGAGAATAAATTCAGTTCCTCTAATCTTTCCTCATAGCTGAACCATGCCTCTTATCAGTTTGGTTGCCCTTCTCTGCACTTTCTCCAGTTCCCCAATGTCCTTTTTGTGAGTTGGTGCTGAAAACTGAGCAGCATATTCCAGATGAGGTGTTACTAATGATTTGTACAGGGGTACAATTATATCTATATCTCTGAAGTCTTTACCTTTTTTATTGCAAGAGAGGATT